TCTCTCTCTCTCTCTCTCTCTCTCTCTCTCTCTCTCTCTCTCACACACACACACACACACACACACACACACACACATTATTACTTAAGGTATGTAAGGTTCGCAGTCCTTGTAGTTCTTTCACAGTCAAATTCAAATTTTTTAGCTGATTGTTGTGAAGCAGTAAGATCTGTAGTGAATGTAAATTTTTCAGAGCACCTAAAAATGATAACCAAAATATAAGGCACTATAGAAACAACTTGTACTTTAATACCTATTTTATTGCAGGTAAGGCAATAAAACAGTTAAAATATGCATGCTTACTTTACAAGATTCTTGAAGGCATTTGGCTGGATGGTAAAAGCTTTATGGACCCATTAACTAAGTAAGGGATATCCAAACTCTTCAATTCATCACCCTTTTTATGAAGTTTCAGATTGCTCATTCACTTTCAAAAATTTATTACATGAAAATAGTGTAATCATCTGGGACTGACTATGAGATTCTGGGTAACATTCTAGCTGCTAGCCACCTAACCTTCAGGATGAAGAACTAGCACTCTCTACAAAGACCTAAAAAAAATTAATTGATCCAAATGACTTTCTATCATTTGTCTACCACCTACTGATTTCCAGCCATTTACTGAACCACTTTTTATTCCCAGTCATTTATCTACCTCTGGGATAATCCCATCAACATTTGGGGGTCATTATTAACCACTTGGGGAACTCTGGCCTAGACCCTGTTCTCACTGACCATCAAATGAAATTGGGAAAACAGCTGGCCTACTATTATTTTGAGTTATTTTGAGAGCCATGTGGCACAGTGGTTAGAGCACAATATTGCAGACTCACTCTGTCCATAAGAGAACATTATAACTTACATCTTTTGGATATGTTTGGAACTTATTTCTTACTCAGACAAATCAAATCAAATGAAATGTTTATACAGTACCTGTTATATTTCTGATATCGTTATTATGAAGATATAATTCTGTCAAGTAACAGTTATATTTCACGAAAGTTATATACTGAATCTAAAAAATAAAAATTTGAATAACACTGTTATTTTATTGGTACACACACCAACATATATAAATTATATATATATCATTTATCGTCACAATAGTCCATCACGACAGAAATCCAATATTATTACTGTTGCCTTTGTTATTGGGTTTCTGTCGTGATGGACTCTTGTGACGAGCCGATTGAGAGAGAATGGAAGCAGTTAGCTTCCTCCCATAATTGGGGCATACCAGGGGTTGTGACTTTAAATATATACCTTTCTCCCTGGCTCAGCTGATAACAGATCAGAGCCTGTGGCTTAATGGCTAAGACGTCTGCCTAATATGTAATATAGCCCAGGTTCGAATCCCAGTAAGGGTATGGCTAGCTGATGAGAGCTAAATAGCTTGAAATAGATCTATACTAGTCTCCCTTTATTTATTTATCAGCACAAATAAAACACACACACACACACACACACACACACACACACACACACATATATATGTACATAGATATGTGTGTGTGTGTGTGTGTGTGTGTGTGT